GGAAAGAGAGATCATACCACTGGCTGTTTGTAGAACAGTTGCACTGATCTTCTTTCCTTCAGATTAGCTTGGCCAGATGGAACCTGAGTTATAAAGGTAAGTGTGAGTGATATTAAATGCAAAAGACTGGCTTTGTTGTGTTTTTTTTGAAGATGCAGAGAAATGCTTACATTGGTGGTGATCTTTTGGTGACCGATCATTTGTGGTAACTGAGTGCCCAGATAGTAGTAAGATGTCCCCATATGGATTGGCTGCATATAACCATATGAGCTGGGCATAGATGGGAAGACTGGCTGAGCTGGTGAAATGACAGGAGGAGCTTGCGTGTAATGCCGCAGTTGTCCTTGAAAGTATTGCTGAATCCTCTTGAATCGATCCTCTTTGCGCTCAGCAACTCGAACAACAAGTGATTTCCCATCAACTAAATATCCTGTAAGCAGCAATAGTAATATATAGCAGTCCAGATTAAGTCAGTATATATCAGCTTGGTCTAGAGAGCTAAGCTACTTTAGTTATAGTATACCATTGAGCTTTCTTATAGCCTGTTTGGACTCTTCACGGTTTGAGAAACACACAAAGCCGAATCCTTTACTTTTCCTATTCTCATGACGCATCACTTTGGCTGAGACTATTTGCCCATAGCTTCTGAATATCTCTCGCAGCCTTGTTTCATCTACTGATTCACTCAAGTTCTTCACGTACAGATTAGACAATTCCATGTTATTGGCAATAAAGTTGTCCCTGTGTTTTTGTTGCAGCATTTCCATCCTTTCAGCTTTTTTCAGAGCCCTTCCTACAAACAGGTTCTTCAATCCTAATAGCGAAAGGAATGTTCTAAAATCAGAAACCTTGCAGGTATAATGACAATGTACTAAAGTATAGGTTCAGACAAAGAAGTTGAGTTACCAAGTGGTCGTCCATTGAGAGATTCCACAGCTTTCTTAGCATTTTCTGGATGGCAGAAGTTGACAAATCCAAAACCTCTCGATCTTCCCATACCATCCCTCATAACCACAACACTAGAGACTGTCCCAAATTGTGAAAACAATCTATGTAGAATATCCTCCGTGACACCTTCAACCAGATTCTTCACATAAACGTTTGTGAATTCTTGATTTCCTGACATAGTTGCTCTTTCATTCTTGTTGATAAACTTGGCT